GGGTAATCTTATCCGGATTGACAGGCGGAAGGGGACGGGAGGGTGGCACTGGGGTGATACCAACACAAGAAAAGCGGAGCTGGTAAGATGGACGAAAGAGAATGAAAGAAAGCCAGGGGACGGCCGGGAATTGAACCCGGGCCTCCTGATTGCCGGTCAGGTGTGTTACCATTACACCACCGAACCCAGGACATTCAGTCGTGCCTCTCAACACTGCCTTCATCACACTTGGTTATGATTCATTGGCTGAGGTTCGCAATGGATTTTTAAATACACCTTCAAAAGTGGACAATTGCGTCAGTGTATGAAAGGAGTTCTTCGGAAAGCTCTTCCTATGGACAGCTTTCTTTTGTCCCAGAGATATGTTACCTGGGAATGGCCTTATCAGCATTGGAATATAAAATTTTAGCGCAGCCCAAATATTTATGACAATACATCATAAGACCTTTACTCATTTCCATAGTTTCCTTTATAGTGTTGAGTTTTTGTCCGATGTCTCTTTTAACCCACGTTCAATCTTTCTCTCATTTGCTTATCCTGTTAACAGGATTTATTTCCAGAACAGGGAGCTCCTGCAATTCCTGGAGTCATTTGAAGCGAACCCTTTGTTTTCAAACCATCCATGAATGGTTTTTCAAATGTCTCCCCCGATCTAATAGAAAGGACATAGGGAGGATATATTCATAACAGGGGCAGTTTGAGCCAGATGCAGTCACAGGCAGAAGGCGAAGAGAGGGTGGGAGGTGGGGTACTACCCCACCTCCCACCCTCTCTTCTCTTTCTGTAAAGGAAGAAGTCAAGGAACGCGGACGTGGAGGGTGGGGCGGAGTACTCCGACATGGGAGCAGAGAAAGGGGAATGAGGAAGGAAAAAAAATTATGACAAAAAAGTCATTTGTTTACAATCCAACTTTAAACCCTGCATTTCGTGAGATTTTTGGGAAACGGTGGTAGGGGCTGCATTGGCTTGCACGGAATGGGAGGAACTTCATGTATCAGCATAATGACTCTCCTTCGTTGGGAATGGGTAAAAGTTCTTACCTCTAATCGTTTGTTCCAGGTCTGATAATGAAATGAAACTAAGACTGAAACTTTCCAGCCAAAATAATATGCGTAACACTCAGAGCTTGCAAAGAATCAGGAACTTTTGCATCTCAGTTCTGTTGCAGACAAGTTAGAGGACGTTGCCAGTACAGTGTCAGTGCTGGAGGATCTCTACAGGGTCTCTATGAAAAGCCACTGACTATTTTCCTTTTTAATAATATCATGAACTAAGGAAGGTATCACGTTTCTTTCATACATAAACTCAAAGGAAATTCAGAAAAATGTTTCACTGCAAAATATTGACAACCCTCTGCTCAACAATATTCAATATGAGGCCCTCTTCGTCAATGCATATTTTGGTCCTTAGCTTGAATTTTTCGCAGGTTGCACATGAATGGCATCACCTTCCCAGTAGGTGGTACCCTCAAATAAAAATGTTTTTGGTCACTGACCATGCACTTTATCTTTCAATTAGCCCCACAATAAGAAATCGCATGGGGATGAAGTCAAGGCCATTCGATGGCTCAGTGCCAACCTATTCGACGACCGGGAAGTATGGCTGTAGTGTCGTTTAGCATTAGAAATCATTACCAATGCTTGGCTGGGAAGGCAGCCGTTTTTACCGTTATATCATTGCTTACTAGTCAAAATGTTTAGTGCCTTCGTAGTTTGTCTTAAGAAGGACTCCCACAATTACTTGCCTAATTTCTTAACCTGCTGTCAAATATGATGGAAATATCCCGAAAAATTAGCTCTCGAGATTAATGTGGGAGCCCTTTGTCACAGAGGGACGATTGCGACTTTTGAGAGAGAGGTCATGAGACTCCTGCCATTTTCCATCGTGCTTGGAGTCAGTCGCTTATTTCGCCATGCTTAAACGTTAATGTCTCCAATCAAGCCACATTTAACTTTGTCCCGAGAGAAAGTGGCGCCTCATTTGAAATTTCATTTTCGGACTTTCTCATTGATATGCAGCGCACTCAGGTCCAAAACCAGGTAAGCGAAACCGGAGTCAAGGGGGCGAGGGTGGAGGAAAATTGTGACACTGGCGGCACTCAGTTTGTAGGGAGGAAGACCCTATTTTAGACGTCTTTCCGACACCAAGGGGGAGAAGGACGACGCGAATCCGAGTTTCTCGAGTATTTAGTTGGCTGTGCGTCCGTCGCCGAGTCCTAACACAATAGCACTCCGCACGTATTGACACGAAACGGAATGGAGAGGAGTCTTTTATCCCTTTCCAACAGCGTCCACATCTCAGATAATGGGTGAGCAATGCGTTCTTGGCCATGATATTTTTGTGAAAAGAAAAGGTAAGGAATCAATGTAAATGAGCATTAGCCCATCCTGCTAGGAGTTCATTGCTGTTCTGTGCCACAAAAGGTAATCGTACAGATTGCCGATCCATCCGATGGAACTTATCGGTTGGTAATGAGTCACTCATGCGCATGTCATGCCTAAACCTGTCATTCTTTTCGATTCATCCCAGTCAACTCATTTCTATCGGTTCAAGTTAAGGGTCCCCGTTCCAAAGTACCGCAATGACTAGTCCACATTGATGGATTTTCCCAGCTCTGTGGGGCTCCCTGGATATATCCCACAGCCCACTTGGATTTATCGGTAGAGAGGAGAAAATAGATTAGAGAGTCGAGGGCATTTGCCAGGATAGCTTTCTAGGTGCCGCAAACGACCAATTGAGAGCACTGATACGAACATGCCGCCCATCTGTAGTTCCATTCTCCATCATCTCTGATTCTGTAGAGGCCTGGAACATCCAATCCTCTAGGGCTTCATTGATTACTGTTGTCTTTTCCAGTAGAGTCTTGCCTGTCCCAGCAGGCGAGGATCTTCCAAGAAACCGATCTTGATTCTTGACCGATGGTTCTCTTCCCTCTTCTTCCCCCATTTGAGCAGGGAATTTACAATAAAATTGAAAGACGAATCAGAGAGCACAATCGACGGATTGCCACCTATTGGACGACTCCGCATTCATCCTCGCGTTTTCCTGGTTCCCTTGCACACCACGTCGAGATTGACAGTGTGGGAACCACCGATTCGTGGACATTCCTGACATTACAACTGAAACATCAACTACCTCATCCTGGCATGTTTTCGAAGAATAGAATTACTTGCGGAGAATGTAGGTTACCCCCAGTCGGCACAGCCATGTTATGCCGACGTTGAGAAAAGGTTGAAACGTTGAGACCTGGTTAAAGTTGGGAATTTGACAAAGAATCGACATCAATGAAATGCTGGCTATTCGTAATTAACAGTATTTGCAGCATATTGTGACTACTCGTGGATTAGCGAAGTCGGATTAGCGAAGCATTCTCCTTTTTCATCATATATGATTCGTTTTTCATCACATATGATTTGCGCTTAATAGCGACTTAACGACTTCGCTAGTCCACGAGTAGTCACAATATGTTGAAAATACTGTTAATTACGAATGGCCAGCATTTCATTGATGCCGATTCTTCGTCAAATTCCCAACTTTAACCAGGTCTCAACGTTTCAACCTTTTCTCAACGTTGACACAATATGGCTGTGCCGACTGGACCCGCACCGTTTCCATGTTTCCATCCCGGAACGTCTGCGCTTTTTCCATCGGGCAGACGTTTCAAAAGCCTCCTTTTATGTCGCATGTTGAGCTCGGGTCAAGCCTTTCCTTCCTCTTCGTATTTTCACTCCTTTCACCATTTCCAGGCACCATTACGCTTTATAATGATAAACCTGACGCTTTATAAGCCTTCAATTATCAGCATCATCTATTCAATGTTCATGGTATGGCTGATTCATATCATTATGTTTGATCCATTACACCCAGGGTACTCTACCTCCTATCTACCCATATGTGGACTCTTTCCATAAGTAATGGGTTTGTAATCGATCGGTAAGGCAAGAAATCGCGAAGAACCAATTGCATCACCAATATTTGCTCATGGGTACTCCAAAACAACCCCCTCCTAGTTGAACGAAGCCCGACGCAGGAGGAGCTCCGTGTACCAAGAGGAATCCATGCGTTTTCCCAGTTGATCTGTCGGGGGTCCGCATCCGGGAAGAATAAAGCAGGCGTACCAATCGGGAACTTGATTCAGCCCAAATAAACGAAACGCATCCCTTTTTCTGTCCTCTCTGCCATCCAACCTCCCTCCCTCCCTCCACCTCCTCTCCCTCTCCCCTCCTCTTCCCTTTGACGTGACGCTAGAGATGTTTTTAATGATACAGAATGTTGGGAAAGTCCGTATTACCATATGATACTAGGTTGTTCAAGCTGCCAATAGGATGACCGTCTCTCCTCCATCATTTATTGCCATCCTACAGAATTTCCAGCTAAAATATCGAAGAGACGGTCATTCTAAAGCATGGATCCTGTCTTATTGGGCGTACAGCGGACGAACCATGGATTTAATCGCACCAGTTCAGCTCGTTCGTGTCTGAGGACACCCTACCGCATCGACCCAAGTCGCAGAGAAGGTCGAGACTGGAACCAATATTGCGTGTCACAGCTCACCTGCGTCATTTTTCTTGAGAGCCGAGAGTCTTCGATTCAATCGTAGAGTCCTTCCATATTGCTCGTATAGATTCGTCGCAGCAGCAAATAGGCGATAGGCACCAAGTTAAAAATGAAGAGCCAACTGAAGGGTGAAACAAGCAAACTTTTATTTACAAGGGGACGATAACAATTCAAGTGCTTTTCCATATTTGTTTGTGGGGGTTAGGATCTGCTGCAGATCCGAATGTGCAGGCACTCCAAGTTGTGCATTCTTCAATGACTGTGATAGAAAGGCTGTTCCAGTTGAATTTTTGTACTTAAAGGAGCAAGTATTTTTTATCTGAAATATTTGGCTTTGTGAGCAAGAAATTTCATGGAAAAATTCTGTCATCTCAGAGACAAAGTTCCTTCCGACCGGCCATTGCCAGTCCGAAAGGATATCAATTAGAAAACAAATGAAAAAGTGCATCGGCTGGAATATATTAAGGAGTTTCATTTCTTGCAGATATCGGCCATGTTGACGAGGCTATCGGCGAGATAGAAGATGGAATTGACGATCATGACGGAGCCGGTAGCAAGCCCGAGATTCCTGTGCTCCGTGTCGAACGGGTTCACGTTCCCGCCCGAGACTTGGTATCCGTGCGTGAAATAGTCGAGGACCACCGTCCCGCCCGCCAGGAACAGGGTGAAGCCCATCGCGTTCATCAGGGCTATCTGAGGGACCGGGAGAAACCTGGATGAGAACACTGCTCAATTTCGTCAACAGCGGTAAAGGACGGTTCAACGCTGCTCTTCGGCAGATTTAATGTCTCAGGGAGTTTCTGCTACTGATAGATGGAGTGATTTACACGAATGGACTTTGAATTAAATCCACAGGTACGACATTTTAATAGATAAACGTCGACGCAAGCGCATGAGTAACATGAAAAAAATATTTGGGACGGAGGAGGATAGATAGCAAATAATACCAAACATAATACAGGGATTTTTGCTGCTGATAACTGTAGAGCTCTCATGCCATTTCTATTTCATGTCATTTCTGACTTCACCCTATTTTCATAGCATTCAGAGGCAGGTAAGGATAAGAAAATTTATTAGCGTGAGAAGCATTCGAGGATGATCGAGGGAATCCACAATCGAGACATTCCATATCGTTCTCGGTCTCTCGTTCACAAGGGAAAAAGAGAGGGAACTCACGGCGGTGGATTTGCGGACATTGCTCTGTCCGATGATGTAGATGAAGAGGAGGGCCGGAGTGATGATGATGAAGGAGATGAGAGTCCCGATCACCAGGTTGTGCTTGTCGTATGATGGCAAGGCCAGTTCGTTGCCTTTGCTTCGATATAGACTTAGGGACGTGATTGTCAGAGCCTGAAAATAAAAATTTGTTTAAAAAAAATTACGATGTACCTTGAGACAAACAATCCATCGTAAGGCTCAAGCACATTCGTTTTGGGTTGCGTTCATCGTTTGCACGATATAAATAGTGATGAATATGAGAAAAAACTCACGGCTTCCGTGAAGCCAAGCCCAAGAGCTACTGCATCTCCCATGTCGTCGTGCGTGTTTGCTCCCGAAGAGGGTGGAACGAATACTGCGAATCGACGCTGCGGCCAGGCTCGCTTCCTTTCGTCGCGGTCACCATGCAGGTCTATCGACCTGTTTCGGTCGTATCCAGGGACCTGGCCACTCCTCCCTTCGAGGTCGTTCGACACGATTGCGAAGCTTGCTGCGATGCAGAGGCATGATAAGGCAACTTCGTGCGTCGCCACCGAGAGCGAGACCTCTCCGTTAAGAGTCTTCGCGGTCACGACTCGTCCTAGCGTTTGCGAAAGAGGTTCAAAATCGGTCGATTTTCTTCTTATTTCGAGGTTCCCGGCTCCATCGAGTGTCTCTTGCGACGGCCTGATCGCGTTCGGAGATCTCGTGGTACATTTTCCGTGGAGCAAGAATGACGGTACAGATGGCAAATGAGATGCCATAAACTTGTCGCTTTCCAGAGTTATGCCTGAGATATTAACTATCGGTACTGTCATTTGAACTGCTGCGAAGTACTTCTGCAGAAATCCGAGCAAATGAGGAAAAGTTGAAAACTTTGTCAGACGAGTGGAGAACTGCCCCGCCTCCGCAACAGCAATCCAGATCCCGTCACGGTGGGGAGAGAATGAGAGTTAAAAAGAAATAGTAATAACTCTCATTCTCTCAACTCTTTCACACGGTAGACAATTACAGGTGTCGACGCTTCTTCCGTGCGTAATATGCGAGAACCAACATTCCGCGACTTCCGAGAATAGAACACGCCATTACCAAATCGTCCGTGTCCTGCGTTTGCAAATCCCGTTAAGCAGTATACCGTTATGCTGGCATGGAATGTGTCTTCTTAACCTTGCTCAAGAAAAATCCTCGCTCATTTCCGTAGTATGAGATGAAAAGATTCAAGAATTCACTGGGAAAATGTGAGAATGCCTGCTTCCCTCACAACTTCGGAAATTAAAGCGAATGGTGGAATAAAAATTTTCCTCTCCATTCGTTTTCTTTCGGTTCAGCATGGGATGCCGCATGGGATGCCGCATGGGATGCCGCATGGGATGCAGCAGCATAACTGTCAAAACCAAACTGTTCATATTTTGACACGGGAAAGATGCATCGCCAATCGTGCCTCCAGATATTCGGCCCATCATAACATTGGCGTTGGCACGCTAAGCGTGTTCTCTTATGTTTCTTTTGGCACCCCATGATATATTGGCACTTGCCCTCTGTAGGAGCACAAGGCTCGTTAGAGGAGCAAAATTAAACTCCATGAGAACGTTCGGTTAAATTGAGCCCCAGGCAATACCTGGCCAACTGTATTCCCGGGAGGAAAACGAGTTCGAACGATAATGGAAATCGACAACGTCAATGGAAATGCGATACAAGAGGCAAGGTCGGTTTATTCCGCAAAAACACTCCAGAGTAATCGCTGCAGGTGAAAAATGACACAAGAACGAGTGGAATTGCACGAGCAGTAGTGAACGGCGATTCACCCGATCGTCTTGGCTTTCACGAAAGCATGGATGGCATCAGCGAGGTAGATGGCAGAGTCGACGACCACGAGGGATCCCAGGGCCAGACCATGAGGGATCCCAGGGCCAGACCACGAGGGATCCCAGGGCCAGACCACGAGGGATCCCAGGGCCAGGCGTCCAGTCGTATCCGGACCCAGGCGTCGTCGTGCCGGGTTCGACCCCGATGCGGATCACCCCGAGGAGTTTCCACAGCCTCATGTAGAAGTTGAGGGCGAAAGCGCCCGCGGTCAAGAAAAGACCGAATCCCAAGATGTTCAACAACGGGACCTGAAGAAGCGGAGAAAAGCAACTCGGGAGAAGTGATGGCAGAAGAATCTTAAGTTCAATTACGGCATTAATCGCTCCATCTTGGACGAAAAGCTCCCTCTACACCAGCAATCTTAGGTTGGAACTTACCTGGTTCGGAAGAGAGTAAATATCAGTGGTTTCCAATCATCTCAGAGCCGTATTTTATTCTGGTTTTTCAAATCCATTTTTTTGCTCCTTTCCTGGCAGCAGTATAAAACCTGAGGCGAGCCTCATCACATAATGCTTTGAATCAACGTCGAACAGCACCGGCGATTTCCTGCGACTCTGCCAGTGAAGCGTCGATCGCCTTTTTTTTTTGGAATCACCTACTCCTATGCGCTTTGTGGGAGAGGGAGCTTTCCTCATTCCTTCACCTTCAATATCTGCATTCTGAATATGATGATCATATTATGGAGTTGATGATGATAATATGATGATAACATGAAGTCTCCTTGAGGTCTCGCAATGTTTCAGGTTTTTCAAGTAAAACACTCACTCGACCTAACTTTTAGCTCCCCTGGACGGAGATCTTGTCATTTCGTAAAAAAAATTGTTCGATTAGAAACAATCAAAAGAGACCAATTGAACTAAGGCAGATGGACATAATTAGTACATTCAGCACAAAATGTCAGGTCAACATAAGACGGTGCGGCAATACAAAAATTGCTCGTACTCGTTGCTATGATGCCCTAAGAACAGGAGGTAGTCATTTCACAAAGACGAGAACATTGTTGCTGGCGTCGTTGCAGAAGGTCGCTGACGGAATTCAAGACATCATAGCCATAATTAACGGGGTTCACCTCGGATTTCATCTACGATTGGGGCTTGGAGCATGAATTTGTAAAAATTTCTATCGATTCCTTATATTTTGCCTTACCGCTGAGGTAGCAGTATACATATATCGTAACGTTTCCATCCCCTTGAAGTAGGTTTGATGATGAAAGCGATGAGGGTCCCGACCATGAGGTTGAAGGGATCCTCGACGGCTCGGTAGTCGGTGGAGTCCGGGTTTGTTATCATCAGCTCTTTGCTCCTCATCAGGGCGATGCAGATAATGGTCACCACCTGGAATCGGTCCGGCGACATCGAGAAATGCATTTCCCGGTCTCGGTGGAGCAAACTTTGAAAGTTTGCTCCACCAAGGAGTTTGCTCCACCGAGGAGTTTGCTCCACCGGCAGTTCCCAATCTATTAGTCGCGACCCACTCCTTCGTCCATGTCGGTTTTGAATCGTCTGTGACCCAGGATGCAAGAAACAAATGTTTAGTCTTCGCTTTTCCCAGTGTCTTCTCACCTGCATTATTTTCTACGGGCCAACAATCTTTCTTATGGTTCGAGAAATCTTGAATATGCAAAGTATGGAAGTATGTATAAAAAAAAAACTGGAACTGGTAGAGCTCATAAATCTTATAAACATTGAGGAACGTACGGTTTCCGAGACTCCGAGTCCAATGGCCACGGCGTCCATCGCTGGTTGGTGATGGTCTCGGCGGTAGGTGATGGTTCTCGGTGGTTGGTGATGGTTCTCGGTGGTTGGTGATGGTTCTCGGTGGTAGGTGATGGTTCTCGGTGGTAAAGTGATGGTTCTCGGCGGTAGGTGATGGTTCTCGTTGTGAGTTGATCGGAGGCACCAGTACCAATACGGATGCATCCGTGTAATCCCGGTGCGCATGGAGATATTCTTCTTAATTGAGTAGCCCTCTTACGGGCTCATCGACCCTCGACGAACGTCGAAGGGTACGCCGAAGTCCCTCCATGGTAACACAGTCATCGGATGGGTTTTGCGCTTTCTTCATGTGAGAGGTGCAAAATTGTAGGCGCCGGATCGCCTGTTTTTGAACGATTTTGCGTTTTCTGCCATCTTCAAAAACTTAAGCCGGAAATTCCATTTCTTGTCTGCTGGATGCCGACTAATAGTTACGGGGAAAATATCGAACAGTCAAGCACTCACAGACAACCTCTGAAGGTGATGTAACAAAGCAACGAGGGTGGTTTTTGACTAGTAACTCCAATTCTTTTCTTGCCTTCAAAATTGTCTGTATGACTTCGTCTCTTCCTGCGCCGCAGCGAAGGCCCTTTTGCGAAGTCACACAGACACCTTTTGAAGGTAAGATAAGAAGGTAAGACACACACACAGACACCTTTTGAAGGTAAGATGAGGAGGTAAGACGACAGTGAAGTTGCTCGTTCAAAATCACCCTCATCGTTATGTTACGTCACCTTCAAATGTCGTCTTTGATTGAATTTCCCACATGGGACGGCAGAATACGCGAAACCGTCCGCAAACACATACGAATCTGTCAGGTATTATAAACAAACATTATTTGATTTAGAGTTCTGAGAGAAAAGTAAAAAAAAGTTTTCCTCAATTAGATTAATTAGAAGGACGAATTGCTGAGCTCAACATACGATAACCAAGCAAGAACATAAACAATGCCACATATATTTTATGACTGAAACCTTCAAATTCAAAAGTGCGCCATTGCATATCGACGTGTCAATGAACCTCATTGGGAAGTGAGGCAACATAAATCAGGAAACCAATTGAAACTTCAAACTTTGGTGCTGATTGGGGGCTATTTGACCCTCTCCCACCAGAATTTTCAGAATTTTTGTCTGGTCCTGGCTGTCAAACCTTGCAAGAGGAATTTCATGGAAAAGGCGCAGTAAAAACGAAGGGTTTTAATAGCATAGGGTGAAGGTAATAGGTAACTGAGGTGAGACTGATGGGAATTGTCAGAAGTGAGTGGCTGGAGCAGGGGGGATTTTTCGTGGCGACGATAACAAGGTCTCGATCCTGCAAACGGGATTATTAATTAAACTTTTTGTTTAAATAAAAAAATAATCTAGGAAAATAAAACAAGAGAGACTTACCTAATTCTGCCCATAACGTTTTTTTTTTCATTTCCTCACATGCAACAAGCAATAAATGAGTCTCCCGGAAATTGTCCCCTTGTTGAAGAGCTAAATGAACCATGGGGTTGACCTAAAAGGATACTTTTCGCTTCCATGGTTTTTATTCTATCAGCATGATCGGAGTCCTTCTCCCAAATCACCCGACTAAAACTTAATTAAGGAAAGATCATCCCGAACATCGCAACCATTGTGAAGGTCGAAATCACAACCAATGTCATTGCATCCATACCTGTTGCCCAGTGGCGGCTCGTGATATTTAGCGCTAGTGGATAGTCTATGGAGAGGGGGTAGGCAGCGACCTCCCCTGTTTACCTTCCCTCCATAGAAGAACCACTAGCGCTAAATATCTCGAGCCGCCACTGCTATTGCCATTTCATCAGGTTACCCTGTCTCAGAGTTCCTGTGGCCCCTCCTCTCCCTCCTCTCCCTCCTCTCCCTCCTCCCCCTCCTCTCCCTCCAACACACACATATTTACTCTGTGTGGCTCTCTGTGCTGTCTGACGTTTGTACTCAAAAGGAATATTGCATGAAAAGCCAGGAGACGAAGACCTTCTTCCACGACCCGAGTGATTTTCATTTTTTGGGGTCAATGAAGGATGGTTTGCGTGCCAGACGATTAGAAAGTGCGAATGAAATCAAGTCTGGTGTAAAGGAGTGGTTCGAGAAAACTTATGTGGATTTTTGCAACAAAAAAAATTTGAACGTTGGGTTGAGAGGTGGCGCAAATGTGTTGCTGCAAATGGAGATTACATAGAAATATAGAAAATAGGCAATTGTTCTTCTGTATCACCTCTATCGTTGTTCCAAATTTTGTAGTTGTAAGATTTGAAATAAACAAGTTCGACCCAAACAGGGATTACTTTCTAAGCACCCCTCGTAAAACGAAGTGCGGGACCGGGTCCCGCCACAGATGCCAATGGAGCCCCTTTC